ATTCTGACTTTAGATGCATCAGCTAATCTTACATCCAAACTAGCAATGGGGGTATTCGTATTCATATACGAATATCCACACACAGATGGCGTTAACGAGGGTCCAGCCCTATGCAGCCGGATGGTCCACTCAACGATCCGGCATCACCACGGATGGCACAATTCTATGAATGGCTCTGCAGTACCACGGATGGCACAATTCTATGAATAGCTCTGCAGCGCACGATCCACTTGCCACTCGTGGCAGCAGGCGGGAGAACAAGCCTCGTTGCAAGGTTTGAAGAGTGGCAAGCAGATTGCGCGCTTCAGAGCCATTTGTAGAATTGTGCCGTCTGCGTCTGTGGTAGATTGGGAGTGGACTGTCCAGCCCCATGGGGCTGGGCAGAATTGTGCCGTCTGCGTCTGTGGTGGATTGGGAGTGGACTGCCCAGCCCCATGGGGCTGGGTCCTCGTTAACGCCACCTGTGCGGGGATAGTCGTATTTATATACGAATATGAATACCGCCATCTCTAATTTAACCAATCTCTCATGTTCTTTAACCAATACATTATTTTTATTTCTGCATTTTAATTAATTATTTAATTAATCCTGCCTTTGTTTTAGGGCTCAAAACAGCTAACAAATTTAAATTCAGATCCATCTGAAAAACACAATTAATTACAGGATTAAACAGTTTATTTGATTAAAGGTTTATTTTATTGTGAATTATAAACTGTGACAGAAATCAAGGAGTTAGTCACAATGAGAGTAGGCCTATTGCACCAGTGGAACTCATGGAAGACTCAACTCACAAAATTACCACTGATTCAATGGGCTTAATTCTAGTTGGGATGGACTAGTGGATTTCAGCGGATCTGTATTGTTTCTCTTAACGTGGCTGGGTGGCTGAGGATGCAACTAGATGGGGGAGTTTGGAGCAATCTGGGCTGAGCTTAAAAGGCTCTTATTTCTGGTGCAATCTATTTTGTCTTGCACTTGAGAGAGCCTTCGACACACATGGGAAATGCTTCCTCTCCCATGGAAGGATCCAGATAACACTTCAAATCACTCTGATTACTGATGCCTTCTTCCTTGCCCCTTTCCTTGCCTTTTGTCATGGTTGTCAATCTACAGGCCACAGCAACTTCCCTTTTGTTTGCCATTAAGTAAGTGGCATAGTGCTACAGCAATACATCAACCTAGGATGGCTACTCCCTTCTATCTGAAATAGCTCTCTGTCACTTAGAAGAGTACAATAGGACCCTCCTATCCATGGGATCACTATCCGCTGAATCATTTATTGGCTGCTTGAAAATACTAAATACCCACCCTGGAAATACGCATGTATACGTGTTTCCTAAATGTATTTACCAGAATTGGCCATTAGAGAGATACAGAGACCATGCAAAGTAGAGTGTTCAATACTTCTGAGTTTTTCAGCATCTGCAGAGGGTGGCTTGGAACCAATCCTCCTTGGATACCACAGTCCTACTGTATTTAAAAAGTGTGAGAAGAGGAAAAGAGAGGAGAAGGTCTCTCCACCATTTTTTCTTCTGTTACAACCCAATGCATATGTCACAGGGTTGTCCCTGAAGAGAATGCCACCCACAGCTCTCTTTAGGAGAGAACCAAGCAAGACTGAATTAGAACTACAGAGTGAGATAATCAGGAGCGCTCCCAATTGCTCCAAATAAATGGCAGCCCCAGTGCTGTGCCAAAAAGGAGTGGAACATATATATATTGCATATGGTTGCCAGAAAATAAGGCAAAGCAAACCACACCAAAAGGTAACCAAATGAGCAAACCACTATGCTCATCTGATCACCCCGTGAAATATTCTAGATCTCTGCATTTTATGTGTTTTCCAGTTTCTTGGTGTTTGAGCATTCACTTTAGTAATTCTTTAATCACTGTCTCATATGCTACAGAAAACAGCTTCCATATGCTAGACTTTTGTCCTTTTGCCACATATCCCATCCACAGGAAAAAAAAACCTGAAACCATCTATTCAGTTAAATGAGGCCAGGAGGAAGTGCATTGTGATACAAATGTAAATGTGCACACTTGTCCTTACTGGCAGTGTGCGCAAAAGCTTGATGTTATAAATATGCCTCTCTTGCTCCCTAGATGGAAGAATCTTTGTCTTGGTGCTCCCCCAATAAGGACACAGCACTTTTTCGAAAAGCAGTATGTAGGGCTGCAGAGGAAAGGCTCTCTTATCTTAGCCAGATGACTGCAGAGCTATGATCTTTGATTGCAAGTTAGATCTGAGGACTTGCCTTTGCAGAAATTCTAAGCTCAATGTCTTCACTTTCCTGACTTGCTCTTTAGTTTGGGACATGATGATACATAAAAATGAAATTTCAATATCATCATCATCAAACAATTCCAGGGTTTTGTGAATAGCACTTCTGCCCTGCTACACTTTTCTCTAATGCTGCCACAGCTTCTCACTGCACACACAGAGCTGTGTGATGTTTTACACATTTTTTGCAGCCTGAATGGGCCCCGTATCCCTCCTCCAGATGCCTTTCGAATCATATAGATATAAACATATGGGGAAAACTGTTTCTGCCAATGTATTTTAACATGGATCATATAAAATGCATTTCACCACATTACAAAAGCTACATGAATATCAGCATTTGTTTTTTGAGACAAAAAAACACCCACCTCTTAGCACTGTTCACAAAGTCTGAACACAGCCTGAAAATGAGATTGTTCTCTGACCTTCAAATGAGCAATCCCATTCTAATATTACTATTTATAATCCTTAATAAGCTAATGGTCTTATTATCCAAGATAATTTGGAATTCACTTCTAAGCTCATAAGTGTTTTCCATTTTTATTATGTAATTATTCAGCATGCTTCATATTGATCTATCATGTTTCTTCCTTGCCCCTCTCCCAATTATTTTTGGAAACACTTCTATATCTAGGGAATTTCTTTAATAGTTGTTTCTCCAAGGAACGTTTTGTAGAAAATGAGTTATCTGTTTCCAAATGCCTGGCTATATAATTGCATGTTATGACAAATAAATATAGATATACTAATAAATGCCTGTGAGCTCATTCATCTAGAATCACTCTAAACCTTTGAAAGACACTTTGCTAAGTTAAACATGAAGCAATAATGAAACAGTAGCACAACCAACTTCTAAGAATTTAGCATGTTTTTGAGAATATCCTCTAGGCCCATACCTTCTGGATAACGTCCCTGCTTTTGCAAACTTCCTAACCAGAAGCCAAGATCTGATGGTGTACAATCAATCACTCATACAGCTTTTGCTCCTGGCCTAACCAGCCTGTATGTATCTAAAGGATCATGAGTTTGAGACCACTATTACAAAATAACAATCTAGATGATATTGATAAATGTAGGTTTCTGCTTGGTTTGATCTTCCTATTAAACCTATCCAGAGTAGTAGAATAATAGCACACAGTAATCTATTCCATCACAAGCCTACTTATATGCAATTACATACAACAATCAATAGCACATATTCCTTATTAAGTGCTCATGGATTTATCTCTCATTTCATATCTCTTTTCTAAAGATGCTTCCTTTTAAATGTCCTTAACACAACTCAGTCATCAATTAAAAGTACTGCATCTCTGACTGTACAATTTATTTTAATGTAGAAAATGGCAGGAGTTTAGAAATAAAATAAGCACCACTATTTGAAGTGTTTGCACTAGATGTACAGACTGACTAACAGTACGAACCTGTGCATATTTACAGTATTTGAAAGCAAAATCATGCAAATAATTATTTGCTTGGAAGCAAACGCAACTGTGTTCAGTTGGGTTTACTCCCTAGCAACTATGTTTAGGATTGTAGTTGTACAGCACAATCCTAATTCTATTGTCTCTCAGCTATAGAGAGTTTGGAACAGAAAGAAGTCTCTTGGCCTGGGTGAACTACCCTTGCATTGTATAAGTGCCCTCGTGATGGCAGAACCCCCACCCCCCGCAGTGGTGGCTGATCTCAAGAAATCTAAGGCAGAAGTGTCAAGATTTGTTCCTTTAAGTGAGCAAGGGGTTAAATTTAATATTGGAGTGAGAATACAAAGTCATGCTTGTAAACGTCAAGTCAATGGATGACTGATGGCATGCAGCTGGAACAAGCTAGGTAGTGCTTGTTAAACCACGTTCAGTTGCTATGTCTGCAGTGATAAGCTGCTCTCACTATTTAAGCAAGAGAGTGAGAATAGCACTTTGCCACTCAGTTGTGAGTCTGGTGGTCATTACTTTACTTCTGTGAATGTTATGTTGCTCTGAGAGATCTATGCCTATGTATATATATCTGACCAATGCTAATATATCAAGTCTAATATATTATGCTATAAGTCTTATCAGAACTCTCTCCGTGTTTTTCCTTATACGTCCACGTCTTTGCTCTGCTTATAAAGGGGAGGATTTGAAGCTACCAGATAAGAGACTCTCTGTAACTTGTTATCTTGGGTTCCAAGGTTTGTTTTCCCTCACAGAGTGCTCTTGGAAGTTTCATTATCCAAATTTGACTCCAAGCTTCTGGAGGGGCAAATGCCACATCTGCCTTTGGAGTTAGACCCACACCAACAAGAAGCAGCTGGCCAGCACAACTGCTATATTGGCCAAAACCAGTCGGCAGAAGAGCCAAAAAAGGGAACGGAGAAGGGGTGGGTGAGAGAGGAGATGATTTATACCAGATCCGTACTTCCTCCACCTCAGGGACAAGGCCACTATGCCAGCAGGAAGATTAGGTCAGGGCAAAGTAGTCATAAGTATTTCCAACATTCTTAAGCTGGAAGTAGTTGGGACTGATATAGCTCAGCTGGTTCTCAGGAATTTTGGCTAGTTAGAATTAAAACTTTTACCTCATTGTGGGCAGCTTGCCAGTTGAGAAGGTTAGTATGTGGAAAGAGGAGACTATGACATAAAAACTAGGTTTTACAGTATGTTAAGTTAGGATTTGTTTTCTCTTTGGGGAAACGGTTAGGCAGCTATAAAATTGTTTAAAGCACCCCCCTATGACATACAAGCAGGCTTCAGTTACTTATGGGGTTCTTCTTCCTCTCCCTCCAGTTATTCAGGAACATAGGTTCCAATGTACTTTCTCCTTCAGTCTGTGGAGAGAAAAAAAAAGAAAAAGGGTTTTACCAAGAGAAAAAGGAAAGGAAGGGACAACATGCAAATAACAATAAGACTCAGAAAAGCAAGTAATAGAAACTAAGGGGAATGCAGTTTCTGTATAATAAACACATTTTTAATGTATTCTCAAAAGCTTTCACGGCTGGGATCTGATGGTTGTTGTGGGTTTTTTGGGCTCTTTGGCCATGTTCTGAAGGTTGTTCTTTCTAACGTTTCGCCAGTCTCTGTGGCCGGCATCTTCAGAGGACAGGAGTCAGAACTCTGTGCTCTGGTGCAGTTTGTCCTGAAAAGGACAAAAGCTGATCCCACAGGTATAAATACTCAACTATCCAAACAAACTGCACCAGAGCACAGACAGAGCTCTGACTCCTATCCTCCGAAGATGCCAGCCACAGAGAATGGTGAAACGTTAGGAAGAACAACCTTCAGAACACGGCCAAAGAGCCCAAAAAACCCACAACAACCAAACACATTTTCCCTGATTTTCCTTTTTCGGTTTCCTAAGAGACATGTGCTTCAGTAATAAGATGTTCAAATTAAATCTATATTTTTAGTGACCAGTCACAAAACAAAGCACTGTAAATGCAGATATGGAAGTGAAGAAAACTATGTCTTATGACTACCAGATGCCTTTCACCACTTGAGGGAGCACTTGTTCTAAATAAGTGTTAGATGCATCCTCTAGTTTGAGGAATCTTAAGGTGTTTGTTAAAATACAAATTGGTTACATGTTTTAACGTTTATTTTTAGCCTAGTCATCTCCTCCTACCTTACGATTGTAGATGTTTTAGACTGCAAGTTCCATCATCTCCAGTTAGTGCTGCTTGTGAAATACAAGGGAAGAAGTCTCTACCTTTGAGGAGTTTAAGATCTAAACTTTGATACAAGGAAAGCAATGGAATGTAAAGCTGTGGGGGTGGGAAGGAAACAACCTGAAGAAAGGCCTCCTAGCATAATATAAGGAGGTAATTCTGTGGTCTGACAAAACACATGCACTATTCATGGTGTGTGGCTTGTGTGACAAAAAAAGAGACATGCATAAGGGACATAAGCACCCAACCTATGACAGCTTCTCCCTAAAATCGTTAAAATGCCCTTGTGCCTGTTTTGGTTTCTGTATTATTAACACTGGTGTTAAGAAGTTCAGTTGCCAATAAAAGTTATAATCTTTTTCAGATCGAGAGGCTTTCTAATGTCTGTATCTCATGCTAGGTAGAATTAGAAAATGGAAACTCTGCTGGCTTGTTTTCATTGCCAAGCTTCTGCTTGACTGGTCAGTAAACTTTGTTTTCCCACGTCTCCTCAGTAGAATGAGATCTGTGTGTCCAAATGACTTCCTCTTGCCCTTGTGTCACCGTCTGTCCCTAGTTTTTCCATGAGTGACACCTGGGCAACAGATGGTGCAAATGGCGCAGAATACATTTGGTAAATTAGGATAAAACTTCTGCCAGGTTGTTAAATCCTTTGGCCATGAACCTTGTGGCATCAAGAACAGGTTAGAAAAAAGGATGGTTTCTGCAAGTAACTGAAACATATTGAGCTTACTTTCTGTGTGGCTGAAGCTTCACATTTTGGAGTAACTAGGAAAGACAAACTTCATATTAACTTTCATATGCTATTTTGATGTCTTACTGCTGTGCCTCAATATGCATTTTGTTGTTGTTTTTAATCGTTAAGTCATCTCCAACTCTTTGTGACCGCATGGACCAAAGCACACCAGGCCCTCCTGTCTTCCACTGCCTCCCGGAGTTGGGTCAAATTCATGTCATCATTCGATGACACTGTCCACCCATCTCGTCCTCTGTCGTCCCCTTCTCCTCTTGTCTTCACACTTTCCCAACATCAGGGGCTTTTCCAAGGAGTCTTCTCTTCTCATCAGATGGCCAAAGTATTGGAGCCTCAGCTTCAGGATCTGTCCTTCCAGTGAGCACTCAGGGTTGATTTCCTTCAGAATTGATACGTTTGTTCTCCTTGCAGTCCAGTGGATTCTCAAGAGCCTCCTCCAGCATCAATTCTTTGGTGGTCAGCCTTTTTTATGGTCCAGCTTTCACTACCATACATCGCTACTGGAAAAACCATAGCTTTGACTATGTGGAGCTTTCTCGTCGGCAAGGTGACGTTTCTGCTTTTTAAGATGCTGTCTAGGTTTGTCATCGCTTTCCTCCCAAGAAGCAGGTGTCTTTTAATTTTGTGGCTGCTGTCACCATCTGCAGCGATCATGGAGCCCAAGAAAGTGAAATCTATCACTGCCTCCATATCTTCCTCTTCTATTTGCCAGGAGGTGTTGGGACCAGTGGCCATGATCTTCGTTTTTTTGATGTTGAGTTTCAGACCATTTTTGTGCTCTCCTCTTTCACCCTCATTACGAGGTTCTTTAATTCCTCCTCACTTTCTGCCACCAGAGTGGTATTTTTTAGATGGTTCCAAATTAGGTTTAACAACTCAATCCAATACACATGTAGAGGAGCATAGTAGATTGAGAGTTTGGACGGCTGAAGCACTGGGCTAATTACTTAGCAGTGGTGGAATTATCTTCCCAATCCCTCAAGCTTCCCAGTTCCCTATACCAATGGTTCCCAGTCTTTGGGTCCCAATGTGATTGGATTGCAATTGCCTGAAGCCTCAGCCTGTAGTGCTAATGGTCAAGGAGTCAAAGTCATGTGGCCTAATAATACCTGGGGACCTGAGACTGGGAATCACTGCTCTAAGTTTAAATGCAGTTCTCATAGGAAGTGAGGGTTAGGTGAGTTGTTCTGAGTAACTGAGCTATTCTGCCAGCTAATTTCAACATAGAGGAAAATATTAAGTATGGAGTGGGCAACATCAATGAATCTGGATGCCAACTTTTTGCCCTTTAAATCCCCATGAACTACACCATACCTGAAATGGGGAAGGGGAGGGAGAAGAAAATGCAAAATGTTCAGAACAGGATAAGTTCTGATACAATAGATTGCATTTCATGTGATTGCCTTCTGAAGAACAACAGAAGACATGGATTTCAATTCACAGACATTCACACTGAAATAAATTCATTAGTCTCAAAAGCACCACATTACTTTTGTTTTTGTCTTCATTTTGTTTTTGTTGTCAGCCAACATAACTGCCTCTCTTACAAATAAGTGATTAAATTAAAGTGATCGGACTGACAGTAATACTAAAAACTTAAATATGTCAAGCTCTTCTCATTAACATTTATGATCCCGCATGCCTGGTAAGAAGGGCTATATGAGTTCCACGGGGCATATAAACAGCAGACCTGCTCCTTTATCTAAGAACACTTCATGTTCTGAAGTTAGCTAAAACTTTGCAAAGGGCAATTTGACCCTAGTGGGATCTGTGGGCATAAATGTGTTATTTTGATAGCAGAATAAACAGAATCATTTTGAGCAAACAGTTTTGAACTCTTCTCTTAATGAAATGCAAGCTACTGTTGGAGCATAGCCCATACCTTGATTAAATCTAATAAATTACAAAATCTTTTTTTACTGCCAGGCTGACAATCACAAGTGTCTATCCTCACATGATACCTGGTTATATGTAAAGAAAGTAATGACATGAAATATTCTAAAATCTAGTTATATGCATATAAGAGTCCTGTGTCTGTTTTCTAACTGGTCACAGTCATAGCGAACTACTCCATTTGTTATTATCAAATGTTGCAAGTACTATATATAAAAAAGGAGCACCTAGTGTTGGAGAATATGGTCTTCAGATGTTAGTGGACTTCAATTCCCATTGTTCTTTACCATTAGCTGTGCTAGTCAGGTCTGATGGCACATGGGAGTTTCAGTCTAACAACTTCTGGATATTTGCAAGTTGCCTATCCATAGTGGGAGATACAGCCATAACACTTTTTTTTAAAGAACCACATTAAAGTTGACATATTTGCACTGAAAACACTATTGAAGGGCTTCATGTAATCCACAACATCAGCAAACATGACACATGACATATTTTACCTACTATGCCTCACATCATTTTAGATAAAAGAAATGAGTCGGTGAAGAACAAATGGACACTAGTCTGATATTAGAAATGGTATACTGAAAACGCAGCAAGAGAAGACGTCAACTCTCCCTTCGTACTCTGTTTCTGATCCTATGGTGACCACTGTTGGAAAAAAAAAAAACTTAAAGACATATTCTGAAAGGAAATATCTGAACAAGAATATGACAGGAGGTTCAAATCCTGTGGGTTGAACAGGGACATGGGATTTTTACCTCATTGTACATGTTTACCAACTCATCTGTGTAAGTTTGTCTGTATTTCTAAATTACTGCAATATGTTTTATGACAACTCTTTGGACAATTTTCTGTGTTTGTAATTTTTTTGCAATGTTATTTCCTCCAATCTTCTGACTTCAACTCCATATCCGCTGTGATCCATGCTCGGCCATTATTCTGTGCTTAAACAAAAGTTTTTCCCCACCTTACTGTGTTAATCTGCTGTGCCTAGATATCCTTGTCACCCACCAATGATCTTTAAAGAACTCTTAATATTGTCACTAAGGTCTCTGCCACTTCCAAGGACTGTTGACGACCCTTAACAGTCATTGATTGATCATCACCATGCTGTAACATATGCATTTCTATTATATTTCATATTCTTATACTCCTATGTTTGTATAAATGTTTATTGACATTGCTGTTTGCACATCTGAGGTAGGCTAAAGTCCATGAAAGCTAATGCTGAAAAATCCTTTTAGTCGTTAAGGTGCAATAAGCCCCTTTCTTGTTTTTATGAAAGTTAACAACCAGCTGGAGGGGGGCTTGATCAGCAAGAGAGATTTCTGGGTGACTTATACTGGGTGGTTACATTGGATATTGATTTTTTATAAGCTATCTTAGAAAATGTTTTAAATTACAAGGTCTACGTTTAAGAGTTTCTTAATGATCCTTCCTCACCGCCATATTTCACAGAGGCAACACATCATTTAAATATATTGTTATAATGCTTATATTTGGACCTTTGCTC